CTGCGCCACCAGGGAAACCTCCCATCTACCCAATTCTTAGTTAACCTGTCTTGAAATTTTGGCATTGTCTTTTGGCAACTCCCACTGAAATTTCACATTTATTTTATCTTAGTGCCTCATTCAAAACTTCTAATTTCTCCTCCTATTATACAGCATTCAGCATTTCCTAATTCATGAGAGTGCAATTAGGTGACAGTCTACATACCTTAAATCTGAACATTGTTATAATCATTTTTTGTGACTAGGATATAGTTGTGGCTGGAAGTTTTTCACCTTTCCGATTTTTGCTTTTTGCTCTGTAGAATTTATATATTATTTTTTTTATTTATGATATTAGAATATAATGCACAAATCCTTGGAGTCAAGGTGTTGTGGACAGATCCACCAGGGGATTTTTCCAGTACATTGTGAATGAATCCTATGTATAATACATAAAGCTCCCACAAGAAATAAATAAAGGTTATTTGTTGAGAACTATGAAGAAAACAATCTGCTTCTCTTTTTAGAAAAGGCCACAATGATATACTACGGAATGTGTATCATTATAATAACAGGAGTGGACTAAAGCAAGAGAGAAAAAGGAACATGCAACCATGGGAAGAAGGCTAACCACATTAACCCTTCGTAAAGTGTTTACTTCATGAAATGTTTTGAGATATCACATTGCCTACACACGATTCCAGTGGATATTATGAAGGATATTATGATTCTACAAGCTAGACTGATTTCTGTAGTAACTACATTTATCCAGAGAACCCACAGCTAATAAAAGAGCACCCTATTACTCCTAGGGGTGCAAACTTCTCTTGGCCTGAGAGGATGGTAAATAAATTGAGGATGCTGGGATTGAAGAAGAGATGTTCTGTGTACTCACACCAAGATATATTCTTTGTGGTCCAAAATGGCATTTCCCATTTCTTGATAGTCTGTATAATTTATCTATTTTGTTTGTTTATTGTCAGTCTCTTCCACTAAAATATAAGTTCCATGAAGGTAGGGAGCTTTGTTTTGTTTTCTGTTGCATCTTCCATGCCTGGCACCTAGTTCCTGGAAGGTTTATATAATGAATAAGCTAAGAAGAAAGGGTGAAAATATAGGAAGGCAGGTTTTTGACTCAACACAAAGACTTTTTAAATTACCTCTGTACTTGTATACTGTCTGCAGGCTGTGTGGTCTTCAGCAGGAAGTGGTTTCTTCTCTAGAGCTCCAGCTAAATCCAGATGACTGTTGGCCTGGGATATTTTGGGGGACGACACATTGGAGGTGTTTGACCACCAGGTTCACTTCCAGCCTTGTGGTTCTAAGGATGGGCCTTTGCCAAAGAATTTACAATGGAGGGAACCCAGGGCAATCATACTGTGTTAATGATGGCAACTTATTGAACTTGGGATACAAGAGGTAAGGAGTCAAAGATGGCACTGAGACTCCCAGTCTGGAGATATTGGTGCCACTGAAGGGAAAAACTGTAATTCAACAGAAATGCTGGTTTGTAGGCAAACTTTAAATCATGGTTAGAAATTCTGAGTTTAATGTGTTAGTGGATTACACAGGAGACATCCAGAAGGTGATTATATTCAGGCAGATAAGGAGCTCAGGAGAGGCTGAGTTATGTCATTCCCATTTGTTAGAAAAATCCACACCCCTCTCTATAGTAGGTAGAGATATCCAAGAAAAGTATGAGTAACTCTTCCCTAATAGGTCATGCACATCCATCTTTATGAAATAATTAGCCTCAGTATTAAAAAACAGAAAAATTTTCAGATTATTATATCAGAAGAACAAGAATGTTCCTTGAAAGTTGTAATCTGTATTTTGATTGAGGACCATATAGGGTATTTTGAAAAGCTTTATTTAGACTATGTGATAACTTAATACATATTAATAAAAGTGGTTTCTGATGTGTTTTAAAAATCATGCTTAAAAGATGCCATCAGTGAATAGTATATTTAGCTATACAATTTTATATTATATAGAATGTAGGTATTATAGTTTCATTTCCTAGATGAGAAAAACAGAGGCCCAGAGTGACTTTATTGCTATAGAGCTCAAACTTGAATCCCTGTCTTCAGAGCCTGAGTGTGAAGTTCTTTCTCCAGCATTCTGCTTCAGCGAGCTGTGAGTCACCAGACTGAGACTCTGCCCTACCATGGGACTGATCAGGGGGCTGCTCATTGGCAGTGAGAATGTCTACCACTTGTCCTTGCCTCAGTTGTGGATCCCCCCCCCGCCCCCAATTCTAGTTGCAGTGCTTACCGCCTGCTACCAGGGAGCCTCATGGTAAAACTGCAAGTTAATGATGATTGTACCAGCCAGAGTTTCTTGGATGGGCTGATAAAACCCACTCCCCAATAGAAGGCTATCGCAGCCATAGGTCTTTTTTTTTTTTTTTTTTTTTCCCTTCTACTAGTGATAATGTTCACTTCGAGAGCAGCTAATGGGTAGTCAAGTGCAGAGGCTTGGGATCTGGGAGAAAATGAGCTGAACAGGGAACCATGAATAAGCTGTTAAAGCCAAGTGGAAATGAGAAGTGGGGGTAATTTGGAGAGGTAGATGAAGAAGGCATTGGGGAGCACTGTGACAACACAGGGTTAGTTTTGTGTGAATGCAGTTTCAGGGGAGCATTTGCCCAGCTGCAGCATTACAGCATCCCTTTTTGTACACTGGATTTATTTCAGTGGGGAAAGAAGAAGGGAGGGGCCACAGGAATAATGGGGGGCGGCAATGAATTAGGCATGTTTTGGAAAAGTAACTTTCTGTCTTATATACTCGACAAAAGCACCTGCTATAATTTCACAATATTTTCTGTGAAAGCTAACCTTTATTTGCTATACAGGAAAGGTTGGCCAGTTACTGCCCAGCACTCACAGAAGGTAGAGATTGGGTCACTTTTTACTTAAGAGGACTGTGCCTTGCACTGGAAAGCTGAAGGAATATAGATTCAAGGGCTTGTGGTATTTTTTTCACTCGCAATTTTTGGAACCATAATTCAGTACTACTGGATTAGGGCATGTTCTATCAAACTAAGAATCAAAAGCTTTCCTATGGGGAAAGTATTAATGTTATAGCTGAAAGAGGTGACAGCCGAATTACTGCCATCAAAAATAATTTATTAACCGTGTCTGTGCAAAATACTCTGGTAGGCACCAAATCTCAGGGGCTTCCTGTTTCAATACATCCTTCTCTCTTTGCAGTCTTTTCAGTGTACCATTCGGCTCTTCACCTGTGAATAAAATGGAGACCTTGAAAACTTCATCTTTGGGGACACGATTACAGGCCAAGAGAACGCTGTTTGCATCCTCAGGGCCAATCATACAGTGCAGGAAAGGTGTTCTAGGAGGCTGCCATCCTCAAACTCTCTTTCTTGGAGCTTGTAAAACATCTTTCCGGTTTCCACTTTAGATCAGGAAATCCGGGAAGAGTCGACTAGAGAGGTTTTGCACCATCAGCATAAACCACGCTGACGCTGGCTCTCTACCCCTTCATTCTTCCTTCTTAGGCCGGTCCCCTAGTCCCTCAGGCGGGTCCCACACTGCACCTGAGATATAGGTACACAGGTGCCTCTCTACCCAAAGGAAGAGAAAGGAAAGAATTTTGGATACCAACCCAAATCGTTTTAAATGTTACCTCACAATCAGTTACCTTGTGATGTGTGCACCTGTGTGTACATCTACATTTAAAGACAATACTTTTTAAAAAGGTAAGTTAGCACACGTCGGCTAAGAGGTATCTGCCGGTTGTAACTGCACAAAGGTCTGTTTCACCAGCATCTCTCTTAGCAAGTCGGAGGGAACGGGCTCTTGATCCAGCAGCGCCCGCTGCCAGGCGGGGAAGCGCACAGACACCCCCCGTACGCGCACACGCCCCTGCTCTCTCGCCCCGCAGCTTCAGCCTCTGACCCCACTGCATCCACACAGGAAAGGGGCTCACAATCGGTGGGTCGGGAGCTGCTTTTGCCACACACTTCCAAGCGAGCGTTTGCTTGGATCATTTATCTTGTACGCGTTAAGAAATCACCATTAGGTGTTGGGGGGAGGCGCTACTTTGCCTGAAGCCCAGCCAGTCCGTGGCGGCTCCGCGCACACCGCACCCGCCTGGCTGCCAGCGCCCGCCTGGAGCCGCCTCCCGCCCGGGGTCCCTGTTCCCCCGGATCCCGGACTTGGTCTCTCGTTTCACGTCTCCCCCTTCAAGTGCGACCGGACAGGGGAGCCGGGCAGTGCTTTCGAATCCTCTGCGGCTTGCGGGGTTCCCTCCGCGGCGGGTTGGACAGCACCCGCCGCGGGCGCCCAGTGCGTCCCCGGCCACGGGCTCGCGGCGGCGGCGCAGCTCGCTGGAGTTTGACTCTCGGGCAGCGGCGCCAGCGCGGAGTCTCAGGCGGCGGGAGCTAGGCGAGCCCGGCCGCTTGCCCTCCGCACTGCGCTCGGATTGGTCTCTCCCAGACAGTGCTAGCCGAGGGTTGGCTGCGGGCCGGCTGAAGAACAGGTGCACCTTACCGCCCGGACTCGCGGAGCAGCCGCCGAGGAACGCGGCGCGGCGGGCCCGGCGACCGGCGGCGGCCAGGCCGGCCCACCTGTGTCGGAATGCGGCTCTCTGGCACCTGGCGTTCCGCGGCCGGCCCGCTCAGCCCCTGAAGGCGGCGCGAGGCCCAGGGGCGGCGCGGGCGCCCCGGGGAGCTGGCCGGGTGCGGCGCCCCGAGGATGCCGGCGCGGCTGGAGCGCATGCAGGCGGCGGGCGGCAGCGGCGGCAGCAGCAGCAGCAGCAGCAGCAGCAGACGACGCGGGGCCCCGGCGCACAGGAGGCCGCCTGCCGGGCTGCAGACGCGCCCCGCCGCTCCCTGACCGGCCGGCGGCGCAGGGGGCCAGTCTAGCCCCTCTTCAGAGATCCTCGCCGCCACCTCCAAGGCCCGCGTCCCCTCCCCGGCCCGCGTCCCCTCCCCCGCTCCTCTCCTCCCCGCCCGCCGCCCGCCTCTCGGGGGGAGGGGCGTGGGGGCAGGGAGCCGATTTGCATGCGGCCGCCGCGGCCGCTGCCTGCGCCCGAGCCCGCCGCCGCCGCCGCCGCCGCCGGAGCCCGCGCCTGCGCCCGGCCCGTGCGGCCCCATGCCTCTGGCGCGGCCCTCGGGGGGGCGAAGGTGAAGACCGGCTCCTAGGATGAGTGAAGGGGCGGCCGCTGCCTCGCCACCTGGAGCCGCTTCGGCAGCCGCCGCCTCGGCCGAGGAGGGCACCGCGGCGGCTGTGGCTGCGGCGGCGGCGGCGGCGGCGGCGGCGGGCGGGGGCCCGGACGGCGGCGGCGAAGGGGCGGCCGAGCCCCCCCGGGAGTTACGCTGTAGCGACTGCATCGTGTGGAACCGGCAGCAGACGTGGCTGTGCGTGGTGCCTCTGTTCATCGGCTTCATCGGCCTGGGGCTCAGCCTCATGCTGCTCAAATGGATCGTGGTGGGCTCCGTCAAGGAATACGTGCCGACCGACCTGGTGGACTCCAAGGGGATGGGCCAGGACCCCTTCTTCCTCTCCAAGCCCAGCTCCTTCCCCAAGGCCATGGAGACCACCACCACGACCACTTCCACCACGTCTCCAGCCACCTCCGCCGGCAGCGCCGCCTCTTCCAGGACGCCCAACCGGATTAGCACCCGGCTGACCACCATCACGCGGGCGCCCACTCGCTTCCCCGGGCAGCGGGTGCCCATCCGGGCCAGCCCGCGCTCCACCACGGCACGGAACACTGCGGCCCCCTCGACGGTCTTGTCCACGACAGCCCCTTTCTTCGGTAGCAGCACTCCGGGCTCCCGACCCCCGGTGCCAGGAACCCCCAGTACCCCGGCCATGCCCTCCTGGCCCACTGCGGCATACGCTACCTCCTCCTACCTTCATGATTCGACTCCCTCCTGGACCCTGTCTCCCTTTCAGGATGCTGCCTCCTCCTCTTCCTCCTCCTCGTCTTCCTCCTCTACCACCACCACGCCAGAAACTAGCACCAGCCCCAAATTTCGTAAGTAAACACTGTGTCTGAACTCTGATTTACTGCTGAGTTTCCATTCTGCCCTCCTGTTGTCCTTTCCCGTCGCCAACGCCTGTCTTCTAGCATCCTTCACCCCCACCCCCACCCCCCACTCCATTCCAGGTTTGGAACACGGAGTGAGAGAATTAAACCTGGCCACAGGGGAGGGAAAAGGTGCCGGCCTTTTCCTGTGTGTGTGTGCGTGGGGGTAGGGGTGGTGTGAAGCAGAGGGAGATTGTCAGCCAAGCTCCACGGGCCCTACTTAAGTGGGTCCCAAATGAGAACTAACTCCCTTCAAGGGGTTAAAGCGAGTGCAGACCTGCTGGGGAGCTCTGGGATCCGGCTCCTGGTGAGAGCTGGGGGAGGGAGGAAGGAGGGAGGGGGGGAGGGGGGGGGGGGGGGGAGGGGGGAGGGGGAGGGGGGGGGGGGAGGGGGGAGGGAGGGCCTTCCCAAAAGCACTGAGCCCTTTCCCCGCCCGTGGGAAGGAGAGAAAGAAAAGCACATGTAAATCGACCGACGTTGAACCGCGGAGGGAAGTTGTATCCATGTGGGGGTGGGCTGGGGTGTGTGTGTGATGATTTGATGGAGACGTTGGTACGGTGAAGCTGTAGACACTTCCAGCAGCCCTGACCCGGGCAGGGACCAGGAAGGGTTAATTAGAAGCCATTGTGGGAGGTAGGGAAAGGAGGCGATCCATGGGGAAGGGCTAAAGTGATCACCTCCTACCCTGCCCATGGCCATTCCAAGGTGTAGAAACGGATTCTGTGGCCGCCCAGAGTGAGTTAACTAGGGGGAATTATGAAGGGATCCCTGCAGAGCTGCCGCCTCTAGGGTCCTGACGGAGGAGGAGTTTTTTCAGCTCTGCCAAGCGTTTGCTTTGTTCGATTCCCAAAGGTGGAGAGTGAACCTCCTCTCCCCTCCCTATATGCCTGAAAAATTTAGGCAAAATGGGACAGAGTTCTGTGCACTCAAGGGTGAGAAAATCAACTCATTTGAAACAGGTCACTCTTTGAATGTAGCTTCTTCACCCTTGGCTCAGTTGCTGCCACTACTGGCCAGTTTCCCCAAGCATGATAGCTTTCTATCTGTCTAGGAGGTGTATATTTTCCCTATACCTTTATACATGTTTTAGATGACTAATTGACCTCCCAGCACCCTCCCACCACCTCACCTTGTTCTTATTATAAGGAAATTTTGGGAAGGTTCTTAATCTGACTATCAATCAGGATCTGAGAACAGTGTGTGCAACCTGTGAAGGTTATTTAGGACAAAACCCCAGCCTGCCAGTTCAAGTTCTGTGCAAGGCTTTTCTCCAAAAACTGCCTGGCTATGCCTTCTTTATACTGTATTTCTGTTTTGAGCCATAACATCTGGAGGGGAAGCAAGACTGCTCATCGTTAACTCTTGAGTAGGAGTACCAAGCTTTCAGTCATCTGGCAGTTTTTCATTTCTCTGACCTGTGGTCTTAGCTGGGGTGTTATATAATCCTTGAAACTTTTTTGTTTTTGGATTTGTTGTATTTGTGGCTAAAGTCCAAGGAGTCCTTATGCTTTTACTCTGCTTTGGAAAAAAAATAGGCCAAAAGATAAACTGAGAGACAGAGAGGAGAGGGGAAGGGAGGGAATCTGCCACAAACCAGAATGGCAGTCAAACTGGTAACTTGCTGCTTCTCTCTCCTTTGGCTGAAGCAGTCATTTTTGAGAGCACATTTTCTCAGGAGGTGTGTAGAGGTTTCTCTCAACAAATCTAGCTGCTTGAGTTTTGTGGATGAGTAAAGGATGTGCAAGTGTATGTGCAAACATATTCAATGGATTGAAAATAGATGCGTTTATCTTGAAGACCCCAGGTTTTTTATCTTTTCTTTTGTTACAGTTGATATGAATAATGGAGTGTGGATGTACTTCTCAGCCTTGTGTGTGTGTTGGGGGGCTTGCATATGGGGGGATATTTCATATTCTTTCTGAATTGATTTCCTTGCTTTCCATTCCAGAGGTCTTTAAAGAAAAATCCAAGGTAATTATTTTCTACCCCTCCATGCTCCCTTCCTACATTCTGTAGAAGGGAATGGCAGCCTGTTTAATAAATAATGATTATTGACACGGCTCTCAGCCCCAAGGAGTAGGGTGGTGGTGCGGGGGGGGGGGGGGATCTGTAAATGGTATCAATGTTCACTTAGACATAGCAGTATTTGTTTTATGTGTATCTGAGGTTCAGCTCTTGCTCTTTTTTAAACCTTCAACAAGGAGTTGAATTAAGGGATTTGCAAGTATGCAAATCCAGCAGAAACTGACCTGGTTTGCCTATATCAACAAGGGAAATTTTAATGAAAGGAAGATTATGTAGTTTCCATAAAAGATGAGTTTAAATAGGTAGGTTGTATGAGTCCAAGATTGTAGGATGATTAACAAAAGGAAATGAAGATTTCATTTGAGGGGTCATCAGCACTGCTGAAAAATGGGCTGAATATCTTGCATTTATATTTTTCACTTGTTTCGATTATGTTACCAAAGTTCCCAGGAAAGAAATTCCCCCCCCCTTTTTTTCTAGCTCCTACTTCCAGACTTCAGTAGATTGTTTTTGCTTTTTTTTTAAGTGAAAGGCATGGATTGTGTTGTAGCACCTGAGGACAACTAAGAATGATGCTTTTTTTTTTTCCCCTTGAGACTAACTCACAAATTCTTTAATTGCCAGGGTCTATGGTTTTAAATTGAACACAAGGCTTATAGAATGAATGTCTTTGTGCTCGTCTTAGGTCAGTCAGAAGGATCCTGTCTGTAAAGGCAGCACAGCTCTGGAGTGGAAGAGGCTGGTTCACTCTAGAATAAACACCCTTGCTAATGGGTAATAGGGTTTTTGCAAGCAAAAGCTATATTTGCTGTGGGAAGGCCCAGTTTAGGAGACTGTTTCTAATTTTCTGTAGGATTAAAGGCAAAGAAAGATTGAATTTGAAAGGCAGAGGGAGTAGAAGAGGGGTTTGGAAGTTGACTCTTCTCATCCTGCAACCTTTAGAACATGAGCCAGACCAGAACTTTCTTCTGTGTTACTGGGGTCTCTTGGGTTCCCAAATAGTTGCCCAGGACTTGCCTTTCCTTCAGATGCTTTAAAAACAAATATCTTGAACATACTGCCTTTAAGAGATTATTTCCCCCCAAATGTCTTTGAAGCATTTTACAGCTGTAAGTGTAGGGTTAGTTTACACATTTTTTAGTCCAAAGGGAAGTTTACTGCAGACAGTAGAGGAACAGTGATTTTGACCAGTGTGTAAGCAACCTTTTATGGCATACTGAATTGTATTTTCAGACTTGAAAGGCATATGCATGTGTAGAATGTTGTCAGTGCACATGTGGATTGTTATTTTACTCAGCAGAAAGCACTGTTTAACAGATAGAAGACCAGAGTCCTTGGCTAAATTCAAGTACTAAAGACAAAGAGCCACTTTCAGTGGGTTATTCTTTGGGTCATATTTGGAAGGTATATAGCTAATTCCAATGAGTAAGATCACAAATCTTGAATAGTGTATTTAGTAAAGAAATAAATGTAAAGTGTATCATTGATGTTTAAACATGGTAGGGTGATAATTTTAGTATAACCAAGTCTACTTAAATCAAACTTTACCCAGTCAAACTTGTAATTTTGAAGAGTTCCATTGATAACATTGACAATTTTCTTATCTATCCTCTTTCTTTTTATAAATTTATTTATTTATTTATTTTTGGCTATGTTGGGTCTTTGTTGCTGGGCTCAGGCTTTCTCTAGTTGAGGCGAGCGGGGGCTACTCTTCGTTGTGGTGTGCGGGCTTCTCATTGCGGTAGCTTCTCTTGTTGTGGAGCACGGGCTCTAGGCACATGGTCTTCAGTAGTTGTGGCACGCGGGCTCAGTAGTTGTAGCTCGTGGGCTCTAGAGCGCAGGCTCAGTAGTTGTGGCGCACGGGCTTAGTTGCTCTGCGGCATGTGGGATCTTCCCGGACCAGGGCTCGAACCCGTGTCCGGTGCATTGGCAGGCGGATTCTTAACCACTGCGCCCCCAGGGAAGCCCTTATCTATTCTTTTTAAACATCTTCAGTCTTTCAGTAAAAGTACTGTGAGTTGCTTTATAAGCAGCCTCAGGTATAATTTGTTTAAATAAAGTTTACTCCTGTGTTGTCTTCTATCTATTGATACATGAATCGAGGCCTTCAGAGGAATTCCAGCATAGAAAGGACTGACCCCAATCATGTATGGTAGCCAAAGGATTCAGAGTTTGAGATCAATATTTCTTATGAAATCCAGTTGAGAGCTTTGTTTAAGAGCACATGCTGCAGCCTGAGTATGTTTTGATTTCCTTTGGCCTTAATACAGGATTACGAGGCTTTTCTGCTTTAGTCAATTATACTGTACATTTTACTCTTCAGACACTTACCTTTTGCTTCATGATCCTAACAGAAAAAAAAGGAGGGGGAGGGGTGTGGGCATAGAATCGGCAAGGCTCTTTTTAGAACATTGTTAATTTGGTCTCAGTGCCTTAAGGCTGTGGTTGAAGCCTTCCTCCTCCGCTACTCGTGACTGAGCTAGAAGGGGTTGGCAGTGCTAATTGAGAACTCCTTTTGCATGCTTGATTGGTGAATCCAGCCACCTTTGTATCTGTGCAATTTCCCGGACAGCCTTTTTTTTTTTTTTTTTTTAACAGTGTTGATCCACATATTTGTCAGAAAGAAAAACAAACAAACAAAAAAAGCTGGTGTGTGGCAGCTTCTTTCTGTTACTAAAGAAACCAACTTTTCTAAATCCAGGTTGAGCCGTAAGCAAGAGTGTCGGTGCAGAGTTTGAAAGCAGTGCTGTCCTGGGAGGTCTAGTGTTTGGAGGAAAAAGATCTCTCTTCCCCCTGGCATACTCTCCTGGTTCTTCCCCCTCTACACAGCACAATGAGAAGAAGGATGATTTTCAGCGCCCTTCTTATGTAGAAATTCTTTCCTTATAACCTCTCCTATCCAGTGCCAAACATATCTCAATATT